TTAAATTAACTACTGGAAAGTATAATTTGGAGACTGGGAACTGGGTGCCAGCAGAAGAGTTCTCATGCTTCCAGGGAATTTGTCTCCTCAGTAAGCACCTGTGTGTCATGCAGAAAACAGTCTTGACTTGAAGAATTGTCACTCAGTTTTAATATATTGCCGATTAACATAAACTTTTCATTAATTTGGTTATTAAGAAACAGTTACACAATGAGGAAAAAACACCTTCCCCCACCTCTACCAGGCTCAACTTCAGCCTAGACCCCTCTCCTCCCCCTCTGCAGCACCCAGCACCGTTGTCTGCACTGCACAGGGCACTTGGGGCACTGGACAGATGCCCTGATAAACTTGCCTGAGGGGCAAGTTCAAAATGCTTGTTTCTCCTCATTGACTATGGAGGTGGGTTTTGCACCTGACCTGATTGTAGGCACTTGAGCTCTGCATTTCCCTGTAGTCCAAATAAGCCTCACTAGTGGAGTCTTTCACAAGAAAACAATGGCTTCCTTTCTGGCACACCTGCTGATTTGGCCAAAAAATAGTGATCTGTATGGAGGAATTCTGGATGCAGTTCTCTGGTAATTGCTGCACAACTTGGACAAGTGTAGCTCCTTCTGGCACTGAAGTCTCTGAAAGCCTCCTGTAACTGATCTCACTAAAAACTGGTAGCCCCAGGATGTGCCTGTGCTGCCTCTGTCCTTAGAAAATACTTATCAAGAACCAGCACTGTTGCAACCAGAGCTGGCTTCCAAAATAATTTCACACAATTTGAACCACACAGTTGTATCATCTGCCCAGGCTCCTTTCAAGTCACACTGAAATTTCACTTGAAGGATTCCTGCTGGTTGGGTTGTCCAGTCCTTTTGCTCAACGTGAGCTCAGGAGGCACCAAGGCACCACAACTGCACAAATGGAACCAGCTGTTGTCCAGTGAGGCCAGGGCTTGCCTGTGGGGGTTGACTCCTTTTTGGAGAAACACCTCCTTTCCTAAGCTTGATTACAGTCTTGGTTTGTGGCATCATAAGAAACTGAGTTTAATTTCCTGTTTGTTGTGGCAGGTTGCAGCCAAGTGAGTGGGCGTCTTCCTTAAGTGCCAGCATTGATATGACTCCAGGTCATGAACAGTCCTTGCTGATCGACTCCATGGATAACAATTCCAGCAGAGTAAGAATTTAACATTCACAGCTGTCAATTACGTAAGCCCTGACTAATCCAAGAAACTGTGAACCTACAGCAGCTAAATCCCTCTGTAGGCACACACAGATCTGTCAGGGGCTGTGTAGGTTTCTGCTCTTGCCTTGCTCTGTCTTCCATGCTGGAGACAGAATTGGATAGGGGTAGTTCATGGAAAACCTGCAGAGAGCAGGGGAAGGAGAGTGTTTCATGAGGATTGCCCTAGAGGTGGGATCTGACAGTGAAATGACTTTGGGAAGGTTTATGCTTATTAGCTTAAACTTATCTTCATGGTCAGAGAGCTCTGGGTGAAGGCAGCTGGGGGCACAACCATTCCTTGTACTGACTGGTCTCTCTTGACTCTTCCAGGCTCGGAATTCCCTTGGACTGCGCCGCCTGTTCCGCTCTCTCTTCCATTCCCGGACCCGCTTGCCTCTGCTGGTGGCCACGTATCTGCTTGCTCTCCATGTCCTGCTCTTCCTGTGCTTTACAGGCCACCTGTGAGCAGTGACAGGCTCTACAGAGCCCAGCCCATGTGCACTGGGGGCCTGCATTCCCTGTGAGGGGCAGCACTTCTCCCAGCTGCCTGCTTTCCCAAGCCAGCCCTGGAGCAACAGCTGCAGCCAGCACTGGGTGCTGCTGTCAGAGTCAGTGCTGCTGCTGGGAACTGCTCCCGGGACATTGGCCATTCCCTCGGGGTCTCTGCAGGAGTGGTTTGTTTTCTGAGCCAGGGTCATGCTGCAAACTTTCAAGGACAGCATCTGCTCCTGTACCTGGAAGTAGAACCAGTCCTTTTAGATAGTATTGTGCTGTGGTAGGAGTAAGAAAAATATTCTCGAGTTGCTGACTTCCTAGAACTGCAGAATCTTCCCCCTCTTAGGCTGAATCCATGAGTGGGGTTGGAGAAACGCTGTAGCTGGATGTAAGACAAAGAATTGTCTTCTCTTTCTTCCATCCCTTAAATTTGCTCCATGGCTCAGTGCTGTCTGAAATGCATATCCTAAGGAAATTGTGGGCACTTTAAGTAAAGTGAATCTTAAAATTTTGTTTCCTGCTCAGTTGCATCTCCTGTTGAAGAAATGCCAAAATTAGTCTATTTGGCCCTGCAGAGCATTCCATTTAAAAACAGTCATGTCTGCCCTGGCAAGCCTGTAAAATAATGCCAGGGATTTAGTTATTTAAAAGGAATAGGAAGCAAGAAACTTTTTAGCTCTTAAGTTAAAAACCTTGCTATTGTGGCATCTGTGCACCTCTCACAATGGAAGGTGCTGGCTTACCTCTAGAAACAAGAGCAGCCCTGCTCCTGCATTCTCATCCACTGGCCCCTTGTCAGGAGAATGACCCCGCACAGGCTGTGTTGGAGGGGTCCCTGATGTGTTGAAGGGGTCCCTGATGTGTTGGAGGGGTCCCTGATGTGTTGGAGGGGTCCCTGATGTGTTGGAGGGGTCCCTGATGTGTTGAAAGGGTCCCTGATGTGTTGAAGGGGTCCATGATGTGTTGAAAGGGTCCCTGATGTGTTGAAGGGGTCCCTGATGTGTTGAAAGGGTCCCTGATGTGCTGTGTGGGTCCAAATCAAAGGCAGAAGCTCCAAAAATAAAGTGTCTCCCCTGTGCTGAGGAAGGAACCAGAGTTCTGAAACCTTCTGGGGTAGATAGCTGGTGCTGGTCATTGGGCATGTTTGGACCCAAAGCAAATGATGCAAATGGACTGGATCTTTTAGGATGTATGGAAAGCTGTGTTTTCTAAAGACCTCCTGAATTTGAGACTGCCCTCTTCCAAAAGCAGAATGCCAAATGCAAAGGAAGTTCCAGTCACATTCCCTGTCGGAGACCGAGTGGTTGTTCCATGGAGAGTTCTGGCCAGGAGGGTCGTATCTGCCTCTTAGTAGAGTATTAACAATCACGTTTTTCCCATGGGAAAGAGGTAGTTCTTTTGATATTGCTGGTAAACTAAGCTGCTCTAGCCAGTGCACAAAGCCTTTTTGAGGATGGATTGATTTCATCAGTAGCTCAAGCAGCTGGGTCTCTGGCAGGTCCAGAGCACTGGCACTACCCACTTGTGCACTGCCCATGATTATCGGTGTGGGCTTCCTCCAACCACATGAAATTCAGTGACCAAATATTTTGCCTGTGGCTTCCTGGGGCATGAGCTCCTGTATATATAATAAAGTTTATTTTTCAGATGGAATTTGGGTCATGTCATGTAACTGTCAAAGGTTTCTTGAGGGTGTAGTGCTGCTGTATCACACCTTGTAGGGGACACTGTGGGACTTCAGGTCCCCTCAGTGTGTGCTGCCTTGTGTGATGGTTGCAAAAGCATTGTTTTTTCATACAGTGTGAACACCTATGGGATGCCTTTTTCCTTGTCTCACCTCTTGCTCAGCCTTTTTCAGATGACAAAAGAAGGAACAGGCAATGTCCTGTGGCAGGGTGAGGGGGTGGAACTAATGGTTTTAAGGTCCCTTCCAACCCAAGCCATTTTATGAACAGTGAAAGCAATTCCAGTAAAACAAGATCTGCTTGGGTTTACTTTTCCACATTTGCCTAAACACTGCACCCAGAGTTGTGCAACCCCGGGACAGACACAGGAGTTGGCACCAGGGAGCTGGAATGTGCTCCTAACTCGGATGGGACAATGTAACTGTCCCCTTTCAACTTTCTGTAGCCAAAGGTGGGTACCCTTGTTCACAGTCACTGCTACAGTCCCCCACGCTGCTGGAACAAAGCCAGCACTGGGGTGTTATAGCGCTGTAGATAATGTTTCCACTGTGTTTAACAGGAGTAAGGATTATAAGCAAAGTATGTTTCCTTAAAGCCCATGCAGGTTTTCCTGAACTGAAGAAAGGCACGATTCTGCAGGATCAGAGACATTTAAATGTTTTATTCCTGCAGATAGAACAGATACCACTTAGATTAAATACAGAAATAAAACCTCAGAAGAAACTCCTGGTCTGATGATCATAGTCTGACTGAACAGCTTTGTGGTTTGACCTGATGAAAGACTGGGCCTTTTTGCTGATGTTTCCTGTCTCAAACATTTCAACATTTTATTTCTTCTCTGATAGACCTGTCCTGCCTTGGTTTTGATCTGCAAGAGAGCCTGAGAAGGAGGTCGACCAACAGAGCTGTGTTCTGCCATCCCTGAGACACACAGGCCAGTTCAGCACCACTGCTGGAGCTGGGCCAGGGTCTGGTCCTGTGCCAGGAGAAAGGTGGTGTCACGGGATAGGGAGGAGTGGCTGCAGGTTACTGCATGGAGCTGTAAAGGGAAGCTCCCGACCCTCCGCTCCCATTCCAGGACAGATGTGAGGCTCTGGGAATGGCAGACAATGCACATGATGAGGTAGCAGAGGAGGAACCTCTGCAGGTGCCCTCACCGAGGTCAGATCAACCCCCCTCTCAACAGAGCTGCATTAAGGCCAGTGCTTAGCAGAAACAACAGAGAGGGATGGTCACAGTCGCTCCTGAGCAGAACAGAGGCCCCCGTGTGCAGACCAGACCCTAATTTCAGGGCAGTTTGCTGCCTCCCTGGGGCCTGAATCAGGGATCTCACCAGACGACTGACTGAGCTCAGTGCAACCTTCAGACTGTGGTTCTTTCACGTGGGTACTGGTGATGTTGCAACAAGAAGCCCGAGGTTGATCAAAGGGGTTTTCAAGGCACTGGGAAGAACGGGAGAAGGTTCAGGAGGACAGTTAGTGTTTTCCTCAATCCTCCCAGCAATGGGGAGAGATACCAGAAGAAACAGGCATGCCCAAGAGATGAATGCTGGCTCCAGGACTGCTGTCTCCACCAGAACTTAGTTTTTTATAACCATAGGAGAATCTTCTTTTGAACACAAGGTGTACTGGGACCTGATGGGATCCTCTGTGCCGATGGGGAAGCGCTGGCTATGTGCTGTGTCAGCATCTCGGAGCACAGGCAGCAAGTGAGGGAACTGCAGCACTGGGGCAGGTCTGGGGACTCATGACTTGAGCAGAGCTGGGGGCTGGGGTGCAGGAAGTGAAGAGAGCTGAAGTTAAAACAGGAACTCCGAGCAGACACAGGCCCAAAGCTGTTGCAGGCTGCAAGTTCCTGAGCAAAGAGCAGCAAGTTTGCCAGCAGGAGCCTTTAAAGGTAAGAAAGCTTGAGTGTGTTTTGGGAGTGGAAAGTGAGAAATGACTACCAAAAAAGTGGGGTTTGGTGGGCAGAGAACTCCTTCCTGACCCAGCATGTTTGAGTGGATAATGCTCGGCATTTGCTTCTCAGGCTGTTGTCCTGTCATCGTTGTTGCTCTTGTGTCTGAGCCTCTAAAGAACCACATTTCCAAATCTACCAGCATGACTGTGCTGTGTGGTAGCCCTATATTTGTGCTGTAGTGGATGTTTTCACAGGGGAAAATGAGATAAACTAAGGGGTTGAGATGCTGGCTGATATTTCTCACTGTGGGGGTGTCTGGAGCATCATAGTGCAATTACAATCTGTGGTTTGTCATGGTTCCCACCACGCAGGGCAGGTGGCTTTGGAGAATGAGCGCTCAAGAACCACTTACAGCAGCATTTAAAACCCTGAACCACTGGATTTGAGCTCAGATCAGCCGCCCTGATGAAAAGCCCTGTGCTAGCTGGTTATTGCTGCTGGTTTATCCTTTACAAAAATGAGCAAGAACCTTTAAAAATCTTTGGTGTGAGAGACGCCAATAAATTAGGGAGGGGAAAAGGAGAAGAAAGGTGTTGCTAAACTGTGCAGTGTAGCCCACGTGAGCCTTCCTGCTTTCCCTGCTTCTAAGTGCAATTGGCTGTATTCAGTTGGGCCCAGGATTGCTGTGAGTGGGGAATGGCACAGAACTTCTATGGTCCTGAGGCACCTGCAGAAGGCTTAAAACTGTGAGTCTGCCTTGGCCCTACATCCTCTCCCTTAGCTGGCTTTTGCTTAACAAAAGAAAGCCTCATCCCTGCTGGTTTAGTTTCTGTTCTCTTTGCTCCCTGGCCTTACAGTGCTGGTTCTCTAGACAACTGGAAAGGACAGCTTGAAAGCAAGCAGTGCGCTGCACTAAACTGGAAGGTTATTCACCTAAACAGCCTTTGACGTGGTACAGTTAATTACTTAGCATAAATAGAGAATTACTTAGTTACTCAGCATAAACATTTCGCTTGCACGGAGGGCAAGTCCCCGAGCGCTCAGGGCTGCCTGAGGCTCCCACACGGCCCTGGGAGGGAGGGGTTAGTGCCGCTGAGCAGCACACGGTAAAAGCTGCTGTTAACTGAGGATCCAGCACACAGGAGGTCTCCTCCCTCCCATTGCTCTGGTCACAGGCTGGTGTGATGGGGAACAGGGCTCAGCTCAGTCTTTCCTGCACATTCTGTTCTGTCTTTCTCTCTGCCCCAGGGAAAAGCTGCTTTGGGCAACACTGAGAACAATTCGGGGCTCCTCAACACTGCAGACAGTAAAGGGCTGGAATATGAGAGCTCTGCTGACAATGATTGCTCTGGGGTGTAGGCAGCTCATGTCATCTTCCCTTCTCTCTCGTTTTGTGAAAACTTTTGGGAGGGGCTTTTTCATCATCTTTTTTCACAGTCACCTTGAAAATGACACATAGGAGTTTTAGATTTCACGTTACTTTTAACTTCCTCTTCCTGGGCCCATCACTTCCTCCAGGCCTGTGGGAGCTGTTCCACCACAGCCTCAGCCCATCCAGCCCTGCACCCTCGGGGCTTTCAGTCCCGTTTCCCGTTTTCTCCATATGACAGACACAAACACCACACGGCACCAGCCCTGTCACTCCAGTGTCCAGTCTTGCCCTGACCCTTCTATAGGCTACTGGGCAGGGGTTAAAAGGTTGGAAAACAGACAAGAGGCTTGAAGAGTCCACCTCAGGTCCAGCAGCACATTGGAGCGTGTGGCAGTGGTGTGACCATGCTACTGGGGAGGGGGATTAACGTGGGGAACAGCATCTCACAGCACAGAAAATTAATGGTGTTGGAAAAGCAGAATCCGGCAGTTGGATGTGAGCCAGCTCTGCCCACGTGCTGGGCCCTGGGTGACAGCTGGGTGACACCGTGTCCTCGCTGTGCAGATGTGGAAAGCGGTTGTGGGACATGACGTGTCAGTGAAGGTGGAGCCTCAGGGAGACGACTGGGACACAGACCCTGATTTTGTGGTGAGTGTCTGGTATGGTAACTGTTATACTGCTGGTGTGAAGGGCTCCTGGCCCTGGGCACTTGCTGCTCAGCAGGGCCAGGGCTCGGGGCTCAGCACGGGGAACCGTCAGTCACCTCTCTGAGCCACTTCTGCCCCATCTCCATGTTTAGTCTCCAGAACTTCCTACATCAGTGCACCTCTGTGTCTCACCACAAGTAAGGCACTTGAGGAGTACAGAATATTGGGTTTTTTTAAACCTGCTCCTTGGTAGCTTCCCTTGTCCTCCCCACAACCTGTGTTACAAGACATAGCGAACACTTATATTTTCTCTGTCCCACACTGTTTGTAACTGTAGAGGATCCAGCATTTCCCTCATTTGTCTTTTTTTCCAGATGGAAAATCCTGTCGTATGTAGTCAGCTTGTGCAGGTGCAGCTCTGTGCCTCTCATATGTTTATTTTCTATCTAGTCTAACTCTGGGTGAGCTGGTGAGAGAGCAGAAGGGCTCAGCCTGGGGAACTCCCTGCATTCATACAGGGTCATGATTTTCATTTTCCTTTTGGTTCTCTCTGCCCTTCCGAATAAGTCTCTCCTGTTACACAAGAGCCCTGTGTTTTTGAGGTCCAGTCTTGCCTAGTTATTTCCAGTTAGAAATCCTAGTTTGGGACAGAAAAGCAATTCCCTTCCTCAAAGTTCCAAATTATTAATGTCTTAGGAAAAATCTATGCTGTCAGGTTTTTTGCTTGTTTTTACTTCATTTCTTCTATTTGTGGAAGCCTTCAAACTAAGCCTGAATGGGATGAGACTTTTTATGTATTTTTTTAATTCTTTTATATATACATGTTTTCAGCTTTGCTGTATATTAGGAAAGACTTTGTTCATGCTTCATTTTATCGAATGCACGCTCAGACCTTCCACAAAGCTACAAAACAAGGCTGTGATAGCCAAGCTTGGGCGAACGGCCCGAGGGCTGCGGTCACTGCGGCTTCTCCAGTATTTTCCCGACAGTGAATTCCTCAGCATTCCTGCTGCTCCTGGCCCTGCGGAGCTGGGGGCCGGCGGGGATGGGGCGCTGGGACCCCCGGCCCGTGCCCGGCCCGTGCCCGGCCCGGCGGAGCGGCACCGAGCCCGGTGCGGGGCCGGGACTGACGGCCACGGCTCGTCCGCAGAACGACATCTCCGAGCGGGAGCAGCGCTGGGGAGCCAAAACCATCGAGGGCTCCGGCCGCGCCGGGCACATCGAGTGAGTGCGGGGGGAACCGGGCCCGGGCGGGCGGAGAACGGACCTGCGGGGGTGCGGGACCGCGGGCACGTCGCGGCGGCGGCCGCTCAAAGCAGCCGCATAAGGGCTGGTTTGCGGAGTGGGATCCAGGCGCTGCTCGTGCTGCTGCGGGGCGTCAGCGGGCGGGTCCCGGTGCAAAGGCTTCCCGCTCCTTCCCTGCCCGGGACTGACCCGCGGCAGCAGCTCCCTCGGGACAGCCCAGCGCTGCCCTGCGGTGCGGCCAGAGTGACCCTGGGGACAGCCCAGCGCTGCCCTGCGGTGCGGCCAGAGTGACCCTGGGCACAGCCCAGCGCTGCCCTGCGGTGCGGCCAGAGTGACCCTGGGCACAGCCCAGCGCTGCCCTGCGGTGCGGCCAGAGTGACCCTGGGCACAGCCCAGCGCTGCCCTGCGGTGCGGCCAGTGCAGCACACAGAGAAAGGGAGCTGCGGGATCCTGAGGAAGCCGGGGTGTGGCCCTGAACAGGGCTGCAGGAGGGGGGCTGGATGTCCTCCCAGAGCCCACTGCTCTGGTCCCTCGGCAGCCCCCGGGGTACCACCCTCTCTGCCACAGCACAGTGGCTGCGTGTGTGGCTGGCACCCCGGGGAACCCAGAGTGGGACCACGATGGCAGCTGGTAGTGGGTGTATGTCCTGCTCTGTGCTGGCCTCTGGCTGGGACAGAGGCACAGGGATGCTCCAGCTGGCTGCACAGCTCTGCTCCATCCCACACTGACCTGCCTGTCTCTGTCTCACCAGTATCCATCAGCTGAGGAACAAGGTGTCAGAGGAACATGAGGTCATCAAGAAGAAGGAGATGGAGACTGGCCCCAAGGCTTCCTATGGCTATGGAGGCAAATTTGGAACAGAGCGGGACCGAATGGATAAGGTAACAGCTGTGGAGGGCTTCTTTGAGCCCCAGTGGAAAAGGGTTTTCTCATAAAGGAAGGGCTATCCATGTTTTCTGGCTGGACCCTGAAGGGAGAGAATGGAGAGCTGGCATAACTGCAGAGATTCACACATGTCCAGCTAGACCATACTCTGTCTCCAGGATCTGTTTGATTCCATTTGTGTAATTCCTCTCTACAACTTCCTGGCAATTCTCCCTTTAGCTGTGAAAAAGGAAATTCTGTGGCTGTTCAAACCTGCTGCATAACAGTTAAATCAGGTGCCTCCCTACTTGCGCTTGGACAACTAATAAATAATGATTCTCTTATATTTTCCATTACAGACCTCGTAGCTCCCTGGGATGAATCCTTAGTTTGTATTCTCTGTTCTCACACCAGATCTGGTTTATGTTTTGTGACAATCATAATCACACTTCTTCCTGCACCTTTCAGCATTTAATACTTCTTTTTTCAGAAGTGAGAGTGTTAAATTGCAGTAATGTTCAGTAGGTGTGGTCACTGTGGGATTGCGGGATATCAGGATGGCAGAGTGAGAAACAGACTGCCCTGACAAACTCCCTGCTCTCCCTGCCAGAGGTGCTGCGGTCACGAATCGCACGCTCTCCTCAGGAGAAGGGCCAGAGGCTGAATGCTTGCAGCATCCTGGTAAAACTAGACAAAGGCCAAGAAGTTGCTCAACAGAAACACCCTCACTCTGCTCTGGCAGAGTCTGATCACAGCTGCTCCATGTTGGTGTGGAGTGTGTGTGGTTCCTGGCCACAGCACCTCTGGCAGGGAGAGCAGGACCCTGGCCTGACCTGTGGCAGGCAGGAAGGGTGATCCCAGCCAGGTCTGCTCGCCCTCACTCTCAGATACACAAATAGGGAGTGGGTGCCAGACCTGCCGCCTGGAGCTCTCAGCGGTACGTCCCATGTGATTATCCACCACACTACTCCACTGGACTTGGGAGCAGCCGGTATTTGGCATCCACACTTTTTCTGGTGAGCTGGCAGGGAGGCCAGTTTGTGGCATGGCAGCCCTTCAGGCCGCTGCCAGGCCTCAGAGCAGAGCTGGTGCTGGCAAAGGCCATGTGGAGGGCATGGCCACCACCGACACGGTCAGCTTGGACCTGTCACTCGCGTCTGCGAGTGTCCCAGCAGCAGGTTGGTGCAGCCACGGTGGCTGTGTCTGCCCCAGCCTGACTGTGGGTGTTCATGTCACGCTGTCTCTCCTCTCAGTGTGCAGTGGGACACGAGTACGTTGCTGATGTTGGGAAGCACTCCTCGCAGACGGATGCAGCCCAGGGCTTTGGGGGAAAGTTTGGAGTCCAGCGGGACCGAGCCGACAAGGTGTGTTGGACAGTGCAGTTAAAATGTGTTGCTGAGGCTGGTGCTGCCCCTGAAACACTGCTGCCTGTGCTGCCCCTGAAACACTGCTGCCTGTGCTGCCCCTGAAACACTGCTGCCTGTGCTGCCCCTGAAACACTGCTGCCTGTGCTGCCCCT